ATCCACCCCTGCTAATTCTGAGAGCATACCATGGGCTGCGTCAATCTGAACACCTCACTGAATGAAAACAGAATTCAGTCTTATTAGTTCAAACCAGACCAAAGGCCCAGCGAAAGGCAAAACATGGAAGTCTTTGACACCAGACTTCAGCACTGGCCGCATTTCATACCCATAAGCCAGAAAAGTTCAGACTACACCTCATGCCACCAGCAGACTAAGCTAAAACTGAGCAGAACCAAGGCCATCCCAACACAGTTGCAGACCAGCACATCAAATTCATCTCAACACTGCTTCAGGAACAAAACAACTTACAGCAGCCCAATTTAACTCATAATTCACCATCTTAATCAAACAGATCAGACTTCTGCACAGACTTCATTTCATACCCATAAGCCAGAAAAATTCAGACTACATCTCATGCCACCAGAAGACTAAGCTAAAAACTGAGCAGAACCAAGGCCATCCCAACACAGTTGCAGACCAGCACATCAAATTCATCTCAACACTGCTTCAGGAACAAAAACAACTTAAATGCTACCTTTGTATGTATATAATCTTTCAATTTTATTTTACTTTCAGAGTAAACGAAATAATTCATGGTATATTATGGCGCATTTGAAAAGAGGACTGATATGGATTATCCAATAAATTTTATTGATTTTACTTTTACGTATTATGTGAATATACACAACAAACGTCATGTTTGAATATAAAATTGTGACAATTGCAAAAAAGTGGTAACTTCACAAAATAATTATAAAATTATGAAAGTACAAACAGTTTATATATTAGATTGGTACAAGTAAGTATTGTACTTTAATCGCTTGATTCTTATTCTAAGTTGTTATCACTTTTCTGCAATTGTTCCTACAAAATTCACAATATTTTTTTTTTTTGATAACTCAGGTATCCCCAACTCACTGATTTTAAGGGAAACCAGGACTAATCTTGAGGGTCCTGAAGTTAACGACCGGGCAAACCTCCAGTGGCCCCAAGGGGTGACTCGAACTCGAGACCTGTGAATTTTATCCTCCAGACTTTACCATTCGGCCACTTGTCTTGGGGTTCAAAATTCACAATATTTTCAAAAACATATTTTGAAAATTCAACCAAATAGAGTGTTTGATTTGAAATTTTCAAAAATTATTTTTTCAGTTTTCAATCCGTCTTTTTTTCTTTTTTTTTTTTCAATGAACCTTTGAAATATTTTAATCACTTTTTTTTTTTTTCTACATCTACTTAGATACACTTAAAAAAATACAAAATTTGTAAAAATAAAATAAAATCTTGAAAAAAGTCACTAAATGCAAATATCTATATATATATATATATATATAAATTCAATACATTTTTGTATTTTTCATATTTATTGATTTTTTAAATATTTCTTCATAAATATTTTACATTTTAAATGTATCTAGATTAAGTGGATTTAAAGAGTAGAAAAATTGATTAAAATATGGAAAAAGTACACTAACAAAATTACAGATTGTAACTTTAAAAAAATCTTGAAAAATCAAAATCAAACCGATTTTCTATAGTTTGTACAAAATTAATCTAATTTTATTATTTCAGATAATTAAGTTAGGATTTTATTAATGGTTAAAAAGAAATTTTGAGCCTTTGTTTACTTTGTCAAACTTCTTCATAAACAAAAAAAGCAATCAACGTGAAGAGTGGAGTGAGAGGGAAGACTAATGCAGTAGGTTAAAAGACAACGTATACTGGAAAATGTAGACGTGTTCATTACTCACTGGTTGCCCGTAAACTAGAGGGTTTACTAGTAAGCAGTATGGAATTTAATCTCATGGCAATCTTTGACTATAAAAACCTAAGCCCTTGCAAAATTTTAGCAAGCGTGCCCACAAATACATTCACTCACACCATGGCTTCTACTAACCATTTCCAAAGCATTTTCTTGGCCTTTGTCTTTGTCTTGGGAGTTTTGTCCTCTCAAGCTTCCTCTCGCATTCTCAACGAACAAACCATGCTAGAAATGCACGAGAAATGGATGACACGCCTTGGACGTGTTTACAAGGATACCGAAGAGAAGAATGCACGGTTTCAGGTATTCAAGGACAATGTCCAATATATAAATGCCTTTAATGAAGGTGTAGACCGAGGATACAAGCTTGGTCTGACTCAATTTTCAGACCTGACCAATGAGGAGTTTCGTGCTTCTCATACTAGTTACGAGAGGCAGCCAACCAAAGAAACATTTGTCTCAAAACCAACATCTTTTAGGTATGCAAATCTAACTAATGTGCCAACAACCGTCGACTGGCGAAACCAAGGTGCAGTTACTCCTGTCAAGAACCAAGGCACCTGTGGTAAGCAGTACATGATATATTTCTATGCCTATATTTATATCAATCAATAATTTAAAATAGTGGTATATATCGATTATGGGTATTAGAAGTATTGACTGGTATACATAAAGAATTGAGTCATGTAGTGGTGAATTTTTTAAAATCATTAGCTACCAAAAAAAAATGAAGAGAGCTTTGTAGCAGTCAAGCACCTATATCGACTATAATCGAGTCATGAATTTGCTCTAAATCAATACATACCATGAACTAGTTGATATCCATACTATTTTCATTCCTATGGTATATCATAGTGTGTCGTTATTGAAAGGACAAAACAATCAATAAATAATGGTCGGTAATTAAAACCATTATATCAATAATTAATAGTAACCCAAGCATATTATTGTCATGCCTTTTTGTAAAATAATCACAACCCACTTGATTGTACCTCCTATTCTAATTATTAACTTTTTTTTTTTTTTTTGGTGGTTATCATATGTATAGGATGTTGTTGGGCATTTGCAGCAGTGGCAGCTGTGGAAGGTATTAACCAAATTACAACCAGTAACCTAATATCACTATCTGAGCAAGAGCTCGTTGATTGTAATGTTGATAACCATGGTTGCGGAGGCGGCTCTAGGAATATAGCCTTTCAATTCATCCAACAAAACAATGGTCTCACATCAGAAGATAATTACCCTTACATTGCACAAGTTAACACTTGTGACAGCACCAAAGCAGCAACCTCTGTAGTCCAGATAACTGGGTACGGAGATGTGCCACCTAATAATGAGCAGGCTCTTCTGCAAGCTGTGGCGAACCAACCGGTTTCTGTTAGCATAGAAGGTAGTGGACCGAACTTCCAGCATTACAGTAGTGGTGTCTTCGCTGGGCCGTGTGGAACCCATCTTGACCATGCTGTCACTATAATTGGATATGGAACTACTACTGATGGGACTAACTATTGGTTGGTTAAGAATTCATGGGACTCTACATGGGGTGAGAATGGATATATGAGGATCGAAAGAGATGTTGTTGCGGAAGGTCTATGCGGCATTGCCATTCGACCTTCTTATCCAACTATGTGAAAGAACGAGGATAGTTGTATGGTATTTAGCTTTTGTTGGAGTATATAATATAAATAATAAAGTTACCTCTGTCTCTAATAGTTTGTATGCTATTAGATGAGTTGGTGGTGAACGTTCTAATTATGATAAGGCCTTGTTTGGAAGGGATAGTTTTAGTTTAAAAGTCAAAAAATTACTTAAAATCAGAAAGTCTGTAACTTATATTAAAAAATTAAAGATATTCTTTTCTTTTTACTTTTTACATATCTTTTTATAAAAAATCAAAAAGTCATTCCAAACATATATTTTTACCTCATATTTTAGTCAAAAAATCACTAAAATAGTCTTTTTTTTCAAACGAGACAAAATAGGAAATAGACTTTCTATTTGGACCTCACAGTTTATCTGACGAGGCTTGTTGAGGATATGTTATAAAGGGGAAATTACCCACAGGTCCTATGTGGAACATGTGGACACCATTTAATCCCATAACTTTTTGGGTACACCCAAAAGTCCTTTCCTCCATCTCTCTGGTTTTTTCCTCCCTTTTTACGTTTTCTTCTTTCTCTTTTTTTCTACATTTTTCTCTCATCGTCTTTGTCATAGACGATGGTGCAAGTGTTCATGTCTTTCTCCATTGATCGAGGTTCACTGATAACCGCCAACCATCGAAATCAATTCGTGATTTCATTCTCACCGACGGCGAAGATATATATTTCCGACGAAGAAGATGAGTGGATCTACTTAGATCTGATGTAGATCTACTCAGATCTGAGTAGATCTACATCAGATTTGGCTAGATCTAAACAAAAAATAATTGTCGGAGTATAATCCTTTCTTTACATCCGTCTTTCTCCTTCGATCTCTTTTTTTTTCTTTGCTATACACTTCTGTTTTTCTGTTCTAATAGAGAAAATTTTCGAATTCTGAACAAGTAGTTTTCGAGTTTTAGTTACAGGCGGTTAAAACTGTAAAATTTTGCAGTTTCAAAATTTTTTTTTGGTGCTGGAATGAATCATGGTTTAAAACTGTAAAATTTTGCAGTTTTATAACATTCTTTAGAACTGTAAAATTTTACAGTTTCATAACATGTTTTTTAATTTTTTTTTTCCGGCAATATTCTAGACATTCCGGTGAGTCTTCGGCGACCGTTAAATGGAAGTCCGACGGTAGTAATATGTGAACAGTGTCTGTAAATTAAAAAAAAAAAAGAATTTTTTAGTAATAATTAAAAATGTATTGGACTAATTGGTGCAAGTGTTTTGTTTTGGGATTAACTGGATCTTAAACTTAGTACATGGGACTTATCAGTAAGTTCCCCATGTTATAAATAATAAAGTTATTCCTCTCTCTAAATGTCTAATCATTTAGATGATTTGGTAAATATTAAATAACAATTTCATAATTTTTTTGTCTAAACTTTATGTAGTTTGGATACATACACACATACATATATATATATATATATATATATATGTCCATTTTATGTTTGCGTTTTGTTGATATTGTAATTTTCTACTAAATGACATGCAAAAAAAATAAAGAGAATAGGGTTTTTTTTTTTTTTTTGTAGTGAGTTTTTAACTATTTTAACCGGATTGTGATCCTCTCCATTTTAGTGATCCTCTCCATTTTAAAGTTATAATGAGGGATTTCAATTATGGAATTGAGAGGATCAGTCCATTTTAAGGGTATGACTTTCCTCCATACTCTTATGTTTCATATATTTGCATATTTTATTTTTTTGAGTTTCATACTAGGCCGACAGTGATAATCTAAATTATTTATCTTGTAAATGTAGATAGAGACCCTAATGTTTGGTAACTACACTTGAAACCCTAAGCCTTAGGTTAATAGCATTTTAGCCCCTACTTCCATAAAAGTCTGCATAATGGCCCAATAAAGAATAATTTTAAATCCTAGAACACCATTTTATAATTAGAAATACCTTAACACTTGGCTTTTATTTATTTTATCTCCTAATTTCTAAATTAATTCATACATTCTTTTTTTTTTTTTTTAGCCTAGTTGCAAATTTACTAATTCTTTGAATCCTTATTATTTATTTGAGCAAATAAATAGCTATAAATATATTTTTAAAAAAAGTAGTTTTATGATTTATTTTAATTTTTAGTTGAGCAAATTAGTAGCAAATTAGTGGGAAAAAATATCTAGATATTTATAAGTTGCTTAGGCATTAAGTTAAAAGGGTAGAATGGTCATTTTAACCCAATTCATGGACTATAAAATTGAGAAGCATTGTCTCAATTCCTCTCTCACGTTTTTAGCAGCTCAGGGAGAGGGTGAGAGAGGGAGAGAGTGCGAGAGGGAAGTAGAGAAGAAGGAAAGAGAAAAAGAAGGAAAAGTGATTCAAGAAGGTAAAAACACCTCTTCCTCTTGTCTTCTTCAATTCTTTCACCATCCCATCCTATTGTTTAGATGTCCTCTTGTGTTGCACATTAATGGGAAATAGAGCATTTGGTGTGTATAAAAGTGTGGATTTGAGTTAGTGACATTGTCTTGCAAATATGTCAAATTAGGCACTGCAGTAACTTCTCAAATTTAAAAGAAATATCAAATTTATTTATTTCTCAAATCTGAATTTCGTGTAGGCTATTTGGTGTGTTTAGAGCTTGTGATAATTTTATTAGCCCCTAATTGTGTGTTTTTAGGGCTTAGATATTTTGTTTAAAAATCTGGTCCTGAGTCTCTGAAAAACAATCCAATTCTTGAAATTTTATAAAATTCTAGAAAACTCATCTCAGGTTGGTTCTTCCATACAAATTTAGGATTTTGAGTCATCTTTTCAATGGAATTTATTTGGGTGAAAATCATTGGGTAGATTGAGAGGAAAGCCAGTTTTCCCAAAGGGTGACAAATCTGGACAGGTTTTCGAATATAGCTTGTAGATGAATTTCTGGAGGTGCTGTGCAAATTCTGAGAATTGGAATTGAAACTAGACATGTTAATTATTATTTCTGTGCAATTTCAGCCCCTAATTTGACCTAGAAGTATTTTTCCCAAAGCACTCTTGTTAGCCCTGCAGAACTGAACAGTGCTGGAAATGGTGTTTTATTGTGTTGTTTGTCTCTAAGTATTTCAAAGCATGTCTAATGTTATTTTCTGGCCTTACCATACCTATGTATGACTATCATGGGCTATATTACCTTTCTTATGTTTGTCTCATGCTCGTTTCTATTACCGAATTACCGAATGTAACTAACTTGTTTGGCAAAAGATCTAATAAATGGGAAATAGAAAGGAGTTGGTAATGAGTGACGTTCACCATTGTGTTTCAGAATGATTTATGTAATACACATGTGAATGAGATTAAAACCAAATGAGTTAAGTCTTGCACAAATAGTCTAAGCGAGCCCCTAGGTTGACATGAATGTGTTTAGACTCTATGCGGTGGTTTCAGGGTGTAAGCGAGCCCAATTGTTTGGCCGTCCCTTTTGAGGTCCATTAATGCCACTGACAGGTAAATAATCGGAAGGTGGGCATAGGTGGTAAGGACTGCAAAGCAGCAAAAGGGAGAGTTCTGAATAGTCCGGTGTTCAATTATTGTGGTTGGGTAGAAGAATCTCTTTGGGGGGATTCTAGATGCCTAGTCTATCTACTAATTCACAAGTCCTTGTTAGAAGATTGTATGTTATGTTACCTGATTTGTTCTGTGTATGGTTGATTGATTGATAGAAGATATGGGGGTGTATATATTTTTACTGGGCATTCCAAGCTCATGTCGTGTCATGCCAAGTGGGGAAGCAGTTTACAATGGTGAAAGTAATCCCGAAGGCAACCAAGATGAAATGTTGGAGCCGTGGTTCAGTTGAAGACTTAGACTAGTAGTTTTTTTTTACTTTGACTTTTGGCATGTCAGTGTTTGTAATCCTATTGCGAAACACAAATGAATTAACTATGGTATTAACTTTGCTTATATGTATATATTAAGATGTTTGGTTATCTATCATGTTTGAATTGTATTATGTACTCTATTTTTTTTTTTCTTTTTTTTTTGATCATGAATTTTGGGGCGTTACAGTAAATCTCACAATGAATACCGTTTATGCAAAAAAATCAGGAAGATATGGCCTAGAATATATTGACTAAGTTTTTTTTTCTTTGGTAGTCAGATACTTACAGGAAGATCAAATCAGCACAAAGCTTACACCAAAATAAGAAAAATCATAGTTCAAAAACAAAGAAAAAAATCCTCAAATGATGCACAAACGAGAAACTATGTATATATTAAGATCAAACCTGAAAACGTTTATAATAATTTTAAAAATGATAACAAAATTTTAAATTAAAATAATATGTTAGAAATATTTTTGTAATTAAATATTATTTAATGAGCACTATTTTAAAATGATAAATCTTAATGTAATTACAAAATTTTATATTTTTTTAAAAAATTGGTATTAAATCTAAAGAAGGAAAGCATATGGGACATTAAAGTCAGTGGCAGATTCTTTGAAGCAAAATAGAAATAATTTTTTTTTTTTTTTGGTACTTATTGGGTGAAAAAGACATTTGTGATAGTTTTATCTTTGTATTCTTTCTATTTGTTGTTTATCTCTCTATTCTTAAACATTATTGCCAACCATCATAACTGAAAAAGTTGCTAGCGGTAACAGTGAACAGATAAGTGGCACGTGGATATATTGGAAGACAAATAGATAACACGTGGACAATTAAATGGACAAGCGGATAGACATATGAATAGAAGATAATATGATTTTTTAAATTATTTTTGTTCTTATGGTCGCAAAAGAATAGATCTTGGAACTATTATTTGTAAAAAAAATTAAAATTGAACCTTTAACCTAAGTATCCTTTTCTATTTATATATTAATACTGATTAGAAAAATTAATAAACCAAGGTTTGAAGGATACAATATTAAGTGAGCATCAAGCCTTGGAAAAAATGAGTCATATTAGAATTATTAGATGAATTAACAATGTGAAAACTTTATAAAATAAATTATTCAAATTATTAAAATTGAACTCGTGATGGGCCTGATTAACCACCTAAGTTTTCTTAAATTCAAATAAAAGCTCTACTCTTAATTTTAAATTTACATGATACATGCATTCAAATTCTAAACACCTGTATAACATTTTTGTTAGATGGTTCACGAAGTGGATTGATCGTATCAACCATCATGGGTTTGGTTTTTTCTATGACCAATTGGTAGAAAATAGATATTTTAGTAATGGTATATTACACTCATGTCCTTTTGTCGAGATTTGAAAAAAATATATATATAGTTGGTCATATGTTTTTGGGTTAAATTTATTTTATTTTTTTGTGGTTTGGAGTTAAAGTACTTTATGTTTTATAGATTACATATAGTCAAAAAAATCTCATGTGATTTTAGACTAGCGCTATTGTTTGTTTTTCTTTCTAAACTAACAAAAGTTGTATCACACACACCATAATTTTACTTCAATTAATTCTCTCCAAACTTAAAATTAAATTAATACGTCAATAAAAATAAAATAAAATATAATATAATTAAGGATTGATTTAAGATATAATTAAATAATAATTAAGAATTAAATTAAAATTAACATTATCACGTCCCGTATTTTATTACTCAAATAACATTATCAAATTCATTAATTAAGTCCATTTACAAAAGACAATTCTTCATTTGATAAAATGATGAATAATTAAATATACATGTTCCCTCTCGTTATACTACAATGTCATTTACATACAAATAAAAGAAATGCCCAGGTTTACAATAAATAAGAGAGTGTTGCCCTTTTACAGAGCATAGAACTCAACCAAAGAAACAATTAAAAAGCACTACTGCTCATCACCACGTTACAACCATGCCAAGTTATTTGATCCTCAGATCTGAAAACATTTTCTGTACACATGTACATGTAGGAGGTGAGCAACCACTAACTCACCAAACAATCTCATATTATAACATTAAAAGATATACGTGTACAAAGATACTCATACATATTCGTGAAATCATAGTATGCCAAAACCATATGATTCTATTACATAATCTCTTAAATTCAATTTATTTAATTAATCACAACTAGTTTAACTTAAATAAGTAAACATGCTTCACTAGCAACAAGACATCCTTTTTAACATATTCAATTAACCCCATTACCAATTGAATCAAATAGTTAAACAATTCATAATGACATCTAACAAAGCATGAAATACGTTTTATACAGTCTTATGAGATGAATGCATATACCATGTCATGCTCAAAATATTTTTCTCATCTTTTGAAAACCTTGTGCACAATGCCAATTTGAAAACACATTAATCAACAATTTCAATATATCTTCAAAGTGGTAAATACGACTCAGACAATCCCTAAACTGGTGTCTGCAAATTGGCATATCGAGCACTACCAAATCCCCATTTTATCAGTCTCTCACCAGAAGGCACGGGGTACCTCCTCCCCACATGTTTTCGGTCTTTCACCATGGACACTCAGGCCAACTTAACCAATATCAAGCTACACCCTGTAGACGTCCCCGAACATCCCGGGAGGGAATCCCGTTTTGTTCATTGGGGCTTACTACAGTTTGGATTCAATGTCACGGTCCTGTATCTAATCTCGCGGAGTGCAATGCAAGTCCGATAAATCATCAAAGAGTCCAAATCCGGCAAATCGCTTTGAAAAATTAATTTTTAGAAAGAAGTTCCAAACATGGACTGCTTTGCCAAATATAGAGTCGCCACCTAAATATTTTATTTTGAGGGAATTTAGGAAACCATGATTCGTGCCTAAGGCCACGTGTCCGTAATCACCAAAGTTGCCTCGGCTCGGGAACTTGGGTACGATTAGGGAAGGTCACTTCGTGAGCACCCCCGCTCGCCCGATCAAAAATCGGCCTCTACTAACCATGATATCGAGTTTTGAAAATATTATGTGCTCTTATGCCGGTTATTAGCCTAGAATTACTATGTGATGCGCACAGCATACAAGTATAGACTGGATCACCTAAGTTGGAACAAAACATCTCATGTTTGTTTTTGAAAGCAGTTTGCTACTTGCAAGTAGGCTAAAATGCGGATTTTGCCACCCTCAAGTGGGCTTAGAAAATATGGTGTTTTGCCACTCTCAAGTGGGCTTAAAACTCGCAATCAATGAATTGTTCCAATTCAAATAATCCAACCTTCACCCACAGGCATTCAGACAGTTATATCACATAAGCACATAGTCTCATAGTAAGCATGCTATCATGGCAGTCACTCACACACATGCAAGGATGTTAAAGCATAAACACTTACTGAGTACTCCGAGCCAAAGAAAGAAGCTAATTAGAAACCATGCATGAATCCTAACTATGCTAAGAATGCCTAATGCAACATATGCAAAAATGCAACTACAATAGGCTCGGCTATTCTAAGATGGCATATGAGATGCAACAATCGATACATGTATTCAACTTGGAATTGAAATACAATGCAGTTAGCATGATGCGCCGAGCCCGATGCATGCAATACAGATGAATGAATGCAAACATGCGAACATATAGATGTTAATTGAAACATGTCCTAAAACTAACCATCATAAGCTGGTAAATAAAATGGAGAAAGACGTGGGGTTTGAAGACATGCATCACACACACGCACACTTATTACAACATTGCCCTCTCTCGGAGGGTCTGAATGAATAGTATAGAATAAACTAGCTAATTTAAGTTAATTAAACTAATTATTACACAACATTAATGAATTAACGAATTAACTAAGTAAGGAAACTAGCATGCAAATTAAACAAAATAGACTGCCTCAGCTCTGTTCCGAATGATAGGGATGCATGCATGCTCAAGTTGCCTTGTCGGGAAATCCATCGCGATGCCCCGATTTGCCTCTGTTTGCAACTGGTCCAAGAACACTATACAAAGCTCCAGAAGGCTGCTGACCAGTTTTAGCTGCTGGTTTCCAGTTTGCTGCAATAGAGAGCGAGAAAGGGGCATGGCAAAGTATTTTCAACATATGTGTGCATGACCACTCTCCCCATCATTGCACAAGCTCCAAGGAGTGTAGTCCTCGATCCTCATGCCACCAATCATGCATCTCTATGCATGATGGCCGAGGAATCGGATTGCACGACTCGATGTAAAATGAATGCACATATAAACACAACAAGGCCTAAACTCCATCATAGGTAATCCAGAGTGTCGGCGATCGAGAATCAAAGCACGTTTCGTCACTTGGACTACGAAACGTCCCTCGCTTCCCGTGTTTGGACTAAACCCTATTCCAAACACAATGCAATATACATGGCATACATAATATGACTAGCATGCAACCCTAAACGCAATGCAACCTAATCATGCTAGCATGCGAGGGATGATATGCAAACATGCAACTAGCATACACAATGCTAGGAACTAAAAATGGCATACTCAATGCACATGAACTATATGGCATACGCAATGCACATACGAAGATGGACATGCACGAAGACATGAACAAGGCATACACAATGCGACGATCAAGCATGCGACAACATGGATATGGCCTACATAATGCAAGATGGACTTAAACTAAAATGAATGGGCCTTAGCCACACTCAAATCAGTGGCCATACATGATGAAAATGAAGCAACAACACACATGCAAAAATGCAAGGGACCAAACCTAAGGCACAAAGTGTAACTCCACCAAAGCATGGTAAGCATGAAATATGGCATACAATCACATATTTTTCAGCTCTGAAATGACATGCAAGATGGTCCCGAATCATGCAAACACCTCGCACAATGCATGCTAAATGGCCCAAATACCGAAACTAGTGAAGTGGATTACACTATAGGCATGCAAAGAAATACTCAAATGGCCAAACCAACCCTAAACAATCCCTATGCAAGTCCAAGACAGTGGCAAATATGGACTAAAATGATGGCTTGCAAAGCATGGAAATGAAGCTCATGTAATGGTCCAAAAATGAGGTATTCATGCATAATTCTCAAACACATTTAAAGAGTGGAA